ATACAATTTCTGGGCTTCGAGATAGATTCCAAGACTAGCACACTACGGCTCCTGACCTCAAAGATCACAGCTATCAAGAAGGAACTACGCAGAGCCATTCGCTGCCACACCATTCCACTCCACAACCTGGCTCGGATCATGGGCTTGCTATCCGCATCTATCCAGGCGATATTCCCGGGCCCACTCCACTACAGAGCGATGCAACGCTTGAAGGCTTCTTTTCTCCGCCAGAACCCTTCATACGACCAAACTATTCCAGTGACGGAGGAAGTCAAGGAAGAACTCGGATGGTGGTTGGACAGCATGGAAGCTTGGAACGGCCGAGCCATCTTCGGGAACACGCCCGACATAGTCCTGGAATCGGACGCCAGCCTCTGGGGATGGGGCGCCACCTGCGAAGGCAGTTCGACGGGAGGTACTTGGACTTCCCAGGAACTCAACCTCCACATCAACTACCTAGAACTCCTAGCGGGGTCGTTTGCAATCCGCAGCCTAGCGAGAGACCGGACGAATTGCTGCATCCTCCTCCGGATGGACAACGTCTCAGCGGTCCGTTACATCAACAGACTGGGAGGGGCCCGGTCCAGACTCCTCTCAGAGATTACGAAAGAAATATTCGAGTTTTGCCTACCCCGGAAAATCTCCCTCATGGCAGAATATCTCCCGGGCGAAACGAACCTAACAGCGGACTGGTTCTCTCGCCACTGGCGGGACAGCAGCGACTGGAGACTGGACCCGACGATCTTCCATTGCCTCTCGGTCAGGAGGGGCCCCCTTCACCTAGACCTCTTCGCATCACGGAACAACAGGTAGACGGACGAGTACTTCAGCTGGCTACCAGATCCAGAGAGCAAGGCAGTAGATGCGTTTCTCCAACCATGGCCACCCAGGGGCGCTTATGCCTTTCCCCCATTCGCCATGGTGGCAAGGACGATACAATACCTGAAGACGCAACGCGGGTCTCTGCTCCTCATCACCCCCCTATGACAGGGCCAACCATGGTTTCCGGACCTTCTAACGTCATCCTACAGGGACCCTCTGCTCATACCATCCTACCCGACACTCCTCACAGATCCGAGAGGGAACCCCCACCCCCTCGTTTTGGAAGACCGCCTCACTCTAGTAGCTTGGACTCTGGCATACCGAGGACCTATCGCAGACATCTCGAGACCTCCTATGGGATTCATGGGCACTAGGAACCAGACGATGCTATCTCGCAGCATGGAATTCCTGGTCCGCTTGGTGCAGTGAGCGGCACTTTGATCCCTTTACGGCACCTGTGACAGCCATCTTGAACTTTCTCTCCCATCTATACTCCGCGGGCCGGTCTTACCGATCCCTCAACGTTGTACGCTCTGCGATTTCGGCTGCTCACATTCCGGTCCTGGGGGTACCCGTCGGCAAAGATCCTCTGGTATGCCGTCTCCTCAGGGGCATCAGACTCCAGAGGCCTCCCAAACCCAAATACACCCGATTATGGGACGTGGAAGTCGTCCTACAGTTCCTCAGGGACTGGCCAGATAACGACAGACTCTCACTTGACAATTGTCGGCCAAACTAACACTTCTACTTTGTTTGGTCTCGTTCCGCAGAGTATCGGACGTGCGGGCATTCGACATTGACGCCTTTTCGGTCTCCCCCGAGGGAGTTACCTTCCAAGTGTCACGTCGTACGAAATCGGATTCCTCGTCGGTCTTCTACCCCTTTTTCCCTACGGAACCGCTGCTTTGCGTGGTTTCTACTCTGCGTCGATACGTACAGGTCACTTCCCTACTTCGGGTCTCATCTTCGGGCCAACTATTGGTGTCTTACATTAGACCTCATGTACCCGTCTCTACTACCACCCTCGCCAGATGGGTACGATGGATCCTGTCTCTGGCAGGAGTGGAAGAGACCTCCGGTGCCCACTCCGTACGCGGAGCGGCATCCTCGTCGGCTATCACCGCAGGCGCGTCGGACCTTTCGGACCTTCTACTTCCGCCAGCGTTAAAAATGCAAAATATGAAGCCTCCTGTCATGTTGTAAAATTGAAGATTATGCTAGCGTTAGTGTACTTATAATCTTAATTTTAGTAATGACAGGAGGCGAGTATTTTCCCGCCCTCCACACCCTTGAGGGATACGCTCTCACAGTATATCTACACTCTGGGTATTCACTCCTTCTACTATCTTCCTACTCACTCTGCAGGAGATCTTGTTCGAACCAGATTTATTTATTTATGTCTCTGTTATTGGTTATGGTCATTCTGTTATGAATTTTACAACTTTTCAGTGGAATTTATGTTGGGTCTATTTTCATTACTGCACACAGTTGCCAGATCGGTACCTAACCTTTTCCACGTTCTTTTTCAGCATAACTTCAAGACATTGCAGCTCACGCTCAGGATGGACACGTTTGGACCATCTTCCGGCCTCTAGAACTGCTCATTTGGAAAGTCACCCGTTGGTGCACGTTACAAGACTTTGGTCCTTTTTTGGGGGGAACTTGTTTCTGATGTCGCTTTCGAAAGAGGGGGAGGAGCCACATCACTGTGAATATTATACCTCCTACTGCATTTTTGATTGGTTAATGTTTTCACTTTTCTTTACTGCTGTGTGGAGTTAGTAAAGAGAGTTTAATACTCGCCTCCTGTCATTACTAAAATTAAGATTATAAGTACACTAACGCTAGCATAATCTTCAATTAACACACTTCTGTGTAACTGCAATTAACACACTGTGTAACTGCAATTAACACACTTCTGTGTAACTGTAATTAACACACTGTGTAACTGTAATTAACACACTGTGTAACTGCAATTAACACACTTCTGTGTAACTGCAATTAACACACTTCTGTGTAACTGTAATTAACACTCTTCTGTGCAGCCGTACATAACATCCTTCTGTGTAAACATATAATACGTTCTTCTGTGTAACCGTACCTAACGCTCTTCCCTGTAACTGTACATATATAACACTCTTCTGTGTAACTGTACATAACTCTTCTGTGTAACTGTACATAGCATTCTTCTGTGTAACTGCACATAGTATATTACTGTGTAAATGTACATAGACTTCTATTGTGTAACTGTACATAGCATTCCTCGGTGTGATTGTACCTAGCATTTCATTGTGTAACTGTAGATAACGCACTTCAGTTAAATAGTGCCTGACACTCCGTAAATAGTGAACTTGCATATTGAGTACACCTGTAGTCAGGGAACTCACCAACTGAGTTACCTCACAAGAGGTGCTCCATTGGTCAATATGATAAAACAGAGCGCTGCAAGCAATTATCTGAACAAACAAAAAGGGGGGAGGGGATGAGTATAAATGGTAACACTGCCAGCTGTGCTTGTAACCCTTCAGGGATTGTGCACAGCTCTATATAGCAAACCTGTGATCTATACCATCCATTATGGTCCCCAGTGGCCTAATCTGCCAGCCACATGGGGCACAAAGCCAGGACAGCCTGAGGGTGCAATGCGCCCAAGTCATAGCTGAGTCCCAGTCAAACCTACAGCACATGTGCCTGCCATCGACGGAACTAATGCGTTAAGTCTGGAAACTGGCCGGCCCCGACCATGCGTTTGCGGGGAAGTGGATGCTCGGGGCCACCGCACTGTATGGGAAGGTAACCCCCACCCACGCCACGGGAGCAGTTATACCGCGAGCAGAAGAGTGGGTCAGGTGGGGGGTGGAAGCAGAGGATCTCGCTCGGCGGATGGAGCCAGCGGGCGGGATCCAACACATGGGACCGCCGCAGTCTTACTCCAGGGTCCCGGCGGTCGGCAACAAAAGCGGTCAAAGGACCGCTTTCTGGCGGCCGCAAACGGACGAAAAGTGAAGGGGGCAAAGCCACCTGGAAAAGGTAGAGGGAAGGAGGGAAACCCCGCCAAACATGAGAAAAAAACGATCCCCAGACGGGGGGCCCAAAGCAGGAAAATGCAGAAAAGTCATAAGAGAAAATACATCCCTACAGCAAAAAAGTAGGGACAGAAAAATACATTCTAAACAAATAAATCCCTGCAGCCATAGGAAGGTAGATGCAGAAAAACAATAAATCAATCAATCACTACAGCACTAAGCAGGTAGGTGAAGAAAATACAGTATAGCTAAATAAATCAATCCCTACAGCGCAAAAATACCCTCTAAACAAATAAATCAATACAGTAATAAACATAAATACAGTAAAATATCCACAACCACCCATATATAACAGGAGCCAGTGGTACTCTGACCTGTACTGACTGCGGAGCAGCAAAGAAAGAGGAAATAGTTAGTTGGGAGAAGCCTTTTATAGATTCCTGATTTTTTTTGTCTCTGGTGTTTTTATCTCTATGTTAATGTGCTGCTGTGGAGTTCTAGTAAGAGAGACTTAAGCATATATGAAGCCTCCTGTCATGCTATAAAATTCAGTTTTTTGCTTTCAAAATTATACATAATGCTGCTCCCACCTATCTATCCTTACTAATACTCAAGTATGTCCCGTTTAGGCCCTTATGCTCTGCTGAAGACTTACATCTATCTTCTGTCCGTACTCCCACCTCTGATGCTCGCCTTCAAGACTTCTCGGGGCTGCACCGCTCCTGTGGAACTCACTTCCCTCCTCCGTTCGACGCTCACCCAGTCTCCACTCCTTCAAAGAAGTCAATCAATGAAACTGTTAATAGCTCCCGACTGATTCATCTCTTGCAACTGTCATTAGTCTAATACTATCCTTACTTTTTGTGTCACTTTACCCCACTCCCTCTAGCATGTAAGCTAGCATTTAAGCTTGTTGAGCAGGGCCCTCAACCTCTCTGTTCCTGTGTGTCCAACTTGTCTGGTTACAACTACATGTCTGTTCGCCAACCCACTGTAAAGCGCTGTGGAATTTGTTGGAGCTATATAAATAATTGCATAATAATGATAATACTAATAATAATATTCAGGTAAGTGAGGGATGGGGGGGGCAGCCTACAGATAAGGTAAGTGAGGTGGATCCCCATCTCTAACTTACCTGATCTGTAAGCTGCACCCCCCCATGCCTCATTTACCTGATCTGTAGGCTGCCCCCCATCCCTCTTACCTGAGATGGAAGGGGCAGAAGGAGCACAAACGTAAAGTAGGAGAAGGAGCAGAAATGAGCAGGAAGGGTCTGCAAGGAGCAGGAAGGGTCTGCAAGGAGAAGGAAGGGACAAAAGGAGCACAAAGGTAAAGGAGCAAAAAGAATCAGAAGAAGCACAAAGGTAAGAAGGAGAAGGAGCAGAAAATGGTAGCAAGGAGCTGGAAGGGGCAAAAGCAGCGCAAAGGTAAAGTAGGAGAAGGAGCAGAAAGGAACAGGAAGGGACAGAAAGGGGCAGCAAGGAGCACAAAGGTAAAGTAGGAGAAGGAGCAGAAAGGGTCTGCAAGGAGCAGAAAGGGATCAGAAAGAGAAAGGAGCAGAAGGGTGCAAAAGAAGCAGAAAGGTAAAGGAACAGAAGGAGCCATGGAGGAGAGAAGACAGTGTCATAAGAAAACGAAGACTGTGTCAAATGAAGGAGAAGAAAAGGAGATTGGAGCAGGAAGGACAAGTGAAGTGATCCCTCCACTTCATTCTGGACACCAAATCATAAGGCTTTGCTTCCTGGGCCTGGTAGGAAAACTTTGGACCTTCTCATCTTCCCAGGTAAAAAAATATGTTAATTTGTTCACTTTTATTTACTGAGTGTCAGGAAGTAGTGATGCACCGAACGGTTCGCTGGCGAATAGTTCCCGGCGAACATAGCATGTTCGCGTTCGCCACGGCGGGCGAACATATGCGCGGTTCGATCCGCCCCCTATTCGTCATCATTGAGTAAACTTTGACCCTGTACCTCACAGTCAGCAGACACATTCCAGCCAATTAGCAGCACACCCTCCCTAGCAGACCCTCCCACCTACTGGACAGCATCCATTTTAGATTCATTCTCAAGCTGCATGCTTAGTGAGAGGAGGGAAAGTGTAGCTGCTGTTGATTAGATAGGGAAATGCATAGCTAGGTTAGGGTATACAGTGTCCACTACAGTCCTGAAGGACTCATCTGATCTCTGCTGTAAGGACAGCACCCCAAAAAGCCCTTTTTAGGGCTAGAACATCAGTCTGCTTTTTTTTTTTTGTGTAATGTAATTGCAGTTAGTTGTCTGCCAGCTTTCTGTGTCAGGCTCACAGTGGATACTGTGCCCAGTGCCACCACTCACTCACTGGTGTCACAATAGCTTGCATTTAAAAACAAAAAACTTTTTTCACTGTTATAGATTGAATAGCAGTTAGTTGTCTCAAAGCGGGTGTGTCAGCCCTACAGCGTGTACTCTGCCAGTTCACAGTGCCACTCATATCTGGTGTCATAATAAAGAGAAAATAGGACTAATGGGTTGCAGATTATAAACAATCTGCCTCCCAAAAAGACCTTGTATCCTTATGTGAAAAAAGCTACTCTGCAATTATAAATATAAAAGTGGAGCTGTAATGAGAATATACCCCAACACGCAGGATTCAGCTAAACAGAAGACAACACAGAGGAGAGATACGTCTACCGGACCTTAGAATGGCCGGACTCAACGTATATGAGAGGAGACAGAGTCAGGAACGATCCGAAATCAAGGGCACAGAGAGACAGCGTAAACTAGGACAAGCCGGGGTCTGGTACACAGTAAACAGCAAGCCGACAACCAGAACAGATAAGGATAAGAGAAAACGTAGTCAGAAACAAAGCCAAAGTCAATACGGAGAAACACAACTGAACACAACAAGCGCTAAAGGGAACTGATACAGAAACCACGATAGGGCAGGGAGTAAAGGGAGAGGTGAGTTTAAATAGCTTCAAAACTAATGTGATTGGCTCCTGTCATATCCACACCCCCAAAAGGCAAGTGTATGGGGAGTGTGGTATGACAGGGGCCAATGGGAGCCTTTTGACAATTTAGGCTCCCACTGTCTCTTTAAGAGCGCGCCCGAGACTCGCGGCGCGCTCTTAGATTCAGGCGGGACACGTGACCGCTTCTCGCGGTCACTGCCCGCCTTGCTAATGGAGCTGTCGGATGAGCCGACATTAGGAATACGCAGATTCCTAGGAAGACCCAAGGCGTATGAAACAGGATTAACCTTATGCAGTATACGATAAGGACCTATGAAGCAGGGAGCCAATTTCATAGAAGGCACCCGCAGGCGAATATATTGGAAAGCAAAACCCTGTCCCCCACAACATAAGTAGGAGCCGCCCTGCGATGCTTGTCAGCCTGAGTCTTCTGGCGAGCAGCGGAATCCACCAAAGAACGCTGAACCTGCTCCCAAGTATTACGCAAACCAGCCAAATGCTCATCCAGAACTGGCATGCCCTGTGAGGAGAATGCAGCCGGAAGAACAACAGGATGCTGGCCATAGACAACGTAAAAAGGGCTTTTGCTGGAAGAATCATGAGTGGCATTATTTCGAGCAAACTCAGCCCAAGGAAGTAGGTCAGACCAATTGTCCTGATGGTGAGACACAAAACAACGAAGGTACTGCTCCAGAGACTGGTTGGCACGTTCAGCAGCTCCATTAGACTGGGGATGGTAAGCGGAAGAAAATGAGAGAGAAATACCCATTTCTGAGCAAAAGGCTTTCCAGAACCTGGAAATAAATTGACTACCCCTATCGGACACGATAGATACAGGAATACCATGTAACCGAAATACTTCTCTAGCGAAGATAAGAGCCAGTTCCTTGGATGTGGGCAACTTGCGAAGAGACACAAAGTGAGCCATCTTGGAAAACCGATCTACTATCATCAGGATGACTGTGTTACCATTCGAAGGGGGTAATTCAACAATAAAATCCATGGATAGGTTAGACCAAGGTCTCTCGGGAACTGGTAAGGGATGCAGAAGCCCACAAGGAACTCTACGAGACGTTTTCATACATGCACAAGTAGTACAAGCACTTATATAGTCAGTGACATCCTTACGTAAGGAACCCCACCAAAAATATCGAGAAACGGCTGACATCGTTTTGGTAATACCAGGATGTCCAGCAGTCTTAGTATCATGATATAATGACAGAATCTCCCGTCTCTCGGAAACATCAACAAACAATTTATCAATAGGCCTCTCGCTAGGTGCCATACTTTGTTTCGCCTGTATGGTCTGCAAGAGGGATGAAGAAATAGACAACATAGTAGTGGCTATTATCCTGTCTGGGGGAATGACAGGAGTAACATCAACCTCCTGTTTGTCAGTAGTTTCGAACTGTCTGGACAGAGCATCTGCTTTAATGTTTCGATCACCTGGCCTATAGGTGATAATATAATTGAAACGGGACAAAAATAGTGACCATCTGGCCTGTCTAGAAGATAATCTTTTAGCTTCACCAAGGTAGGATAGATTCTTGTGATCTGTAAAAATTAGAATAGGATCCTTAGTTCCTTCTAACAGATGTCTCCATTCTTTAAGGGCTAAGATAATAGCAAGGAGTTCACGATTACCCACATCATAATTCCTTTCAGCTTTGGACATTTGTCTAGAAAAGAAGCCACAAGGATGCAATGGCTTTTCAGGCGATTCTCTTTGGGACAAAACAGCACCTACCCCGATTTCAGAAGCATCAACTTCAAGAATATAAGGCAATGAGGGGATAGGGTGCTGTAAAATAGGTGCCGAGGCGAATGTAGTTTTAAGAAAGTCGAAAGCCTGAAGTGCCTCGGGAGACCAGACACGAGTATTACCACCCTTTTTTGTCATACGGGTGATAGGTGCTACAATAGAAGAAAAACCCTTAATAAAGCGTCTATAATAGTTAGAGAAACCAAGAAAACGTTGAATTGCTTTCAAACCCTGTGGTAGAGGCCACTCTATAACCGCAGAAAGCTTCTGGGGATCCATACGAAACCCTTTGGCGGAAATCAAATACCCCAAGAACTGGACTTCGGATTGGTCAAATAGACATTTTTCTAGTTTACAGTAAAGACCATTATTAAGATGGGTCTTCAATACCGTTGTGACATGCCTGTGATGAGTGTGTAAATCTGTAGAATATATCAATATGTCGTCCAAGTATACAATTACAAATGTGTGAATAAAGTCTCTTAGGACGTCATTAATAAATTCCTGAAATACTGCTGGGGCATTGCAAAGACCAAATGGCATAACAGTATATTCGTAATGACCAGATCTAGTGTTGAATGCGGTCTTCCATTCGTGACCTTCCTTTATGCGTATTAAATTGTATGCACCTCTAAGGTCCAATTTGGTGAACACAGTAGCATGTTTCAGCCTGTCAAATAACTCTGTAATTAAAGGTATAGGGTATGCATTTTTGATAGTGATTTTGTTTAGACCTCTATAATCGATGCACGGTCTTAAATCACCCTCTTTCTTAGATACGAAGAAAAACCCTGCTCCAGCCGGAGAAGAGGATCTCCTAATGAACCCCTTTTCTAGTGATTCTTTAACATACTCCTCCATGATACGGTTTTCTTGAATAGATAAAGGGTACACCCTGCCCTTAGGAGGTATAGTGCCAGGCAATAAATCGATAGCACAATCATAGGATCTGTGAGGCGGTAATTTATCAGCTTCCCTTTTATCGAATACAGTTTTGAGAAACAAGTATTGAGGAGGTATAACAGTAGACAAAGGAGGAGTGGTAGGAACATTAATGGTATTTAAAGGGGTGACTTTAATCATACAAGAGTCGTGGCAGGTTTTACCCCATGATTTTAATTGTCCCAATTCCCAGTCAAAAATGGGATTGTGAGAACACAACCATGGGTACCCTAACACGATATGAGAAGAGGGAGAGGTGATAACCTGAAACCGAATGGTCTCAAGGTGTAAAACCCCTGTGTACATGAATAATGGTACAGTTTCATGGGTAACGACTGGAGTATTTAAAGGTCTACCATCTATGGCCTCAATGGCCAAGGGTATCTCCCTTTCTCTGACGGGAATGTTATTTTTCGTAACAAACTCAGAGTCAATGAAGTTCTCAGCAGCCCCAGAATCAACCAAGGCTAGTATGCATTCTGCTATACAACTCACCCCCGTATGAAGGGAAACAGGGAGAAGCAAACGATTAGGAGGCAATTTAGGAGACTTAGAGATCACACCCAAGGCCAGTCCCCTATAAGGTCTTAGGTGCGAGAGTTTTCCGGACGCAAAGGACATTCCCTTACCATATGGTCTCACCTACCACAGTATAGGCAGAGTCCATTCCTTCTTCTAAGTAGTTTTTCAGTATCCGAGAGTTTGGCAACCCCTAATTGCATGGGTTACTTTAACACTCTCAGGTTTATCAACTCTGGGGTTAATAGA